CGAGTGGTGCCCTGCGTGACAGAGGGGACGGGTCCGCGGGGTCGGTCCCCGCGCTGCAGCCCCATCCCCGTGCCACAGACGTGCTGGTGGCCGAGTCCCAGCACGCTCGCTGCGTGCATGAGGTTCATGCCAACTACAAACCACGTCGTGAGAGCCTGGGGATGCTTTAGAAGCTGACGGCTTGGCGATGACTTGCAGGTCTCATCCTGCCCGTCCCGAGCCCCCGCACTCCCCCCGCCGCCTCCTTACCCAGCGTCTTGAGGAGCAGCGTGCAGTGGAGGGTGAGGATGACAGGTCCCAGGTACTGCAGGCTGACCACGGAGACGTAGCAGTAAATCCTCGTGATCTGTGGGCAGTGGGGATCAGCAGGAGCGCGGCGGCCGTGCCTGGACCCCCGCTCCCACCCCACCACCCGTATCCGGACCTTGCGCTGGATCTCCAGGACGGCGATCCGCCCGGCCTCCTTCCTCATCTGCTGCACCCAGCGCTCGGCCAGGCCCAGGTACGCTTGGAGGTGGTGCCGGGTGACGGCCAGGCGCAACAGGCTGAGGCCGACGATGCTCCAGAGGCGCGCGGTGTTGTAGGCAGAGTTTGACATGCTGGGGCACGAAGAGGGGGCTGTCAGGGAGACCTCGGGGTCCAGAACCCCCTCCCTGTGCCTCAGAGGGTGTCTGATGGGAGAGGAGGAGGTGGTGGCGAGGATCGGGGGGCTACTGGTGTTGGAGGAGGTGGACTGGTGCCCCTGTAGGCACCGGGGCACAGTCAGACCCGCTGCCCCACTTACATCTGCACGGTCTGCTTGCCCATGGGCGCGTGGAGCAGGAAATCCCGTGAGATGGGCTTGATCCACATCACCACCATGAGGACGGGCGCCAGGAAACTCACGTGGAGCAGGACCCTGCAGCGGAGCCGTCAGAGACCCCCGTGCTGCCAGGTGCCCCCCGCTCCCTCCCTCCTTCCATCCCTCCCTCCACCTCTCCGCAGGCAGGGACCCATCCTCACCCACCGCCCCTCCACCCTCTCCCACCACCAAACCTCCTCGCCGCCCTGCAGCCACAGAGCCCGGGGGGGGCGTCCTACCCCCTGAGATGCCAGCACCGACCCCCTCGCCCCCTTCCCCACCCGCAGATTTCACCCAACTGGGTCAGGGGCTTGTCGGCCGACAGCCGGAGAGCGTCGAGATGCGTCTGGGCCAGGCGCAGCCCCGGGAAGGTCAGGCAGGCGCCCAGGAAGGAACACAGGGCCACCAGCCCCAGCTTGAAGGCCAGCTTGGCAAGGGGCAGCCTGCGGAGAGAGAAGGCAGCACGGGGGGCAAGGGGACATGGGTCAGCCCCATCCGCACCCCAGACCTCCAAAAAAACCCCCCCAAATCCCGTTTCCCTCCCCGCCCAGCCTCCAACTCACGTCCACCCCCACGCCC